GACAGCATGTCTGTATGCTTGTAAATGGGCTGGTTTTTATAAAGCGCTTTTCCACTCTCACTGAGCACTCAAAGCGCTTTACCCATTCACACAAGCACTTTATCTAAGGTTTTAGTGCTTCTATCACTCCGATGGATGCATCGGAGGGCAACATGGGGTTAATATCTTGCCCAAGGATATTTGGTATGTAGGCTGTAGCCTGGGATCGAACCACCACCCTTCCAGTGAGTAGATGACCCACTCTACCACCTGAGCTACAGCCACCTTGTGACAGACGGGGCTTCATCCATGGCAGGAAAAGTGAGCGGTTTGGCTGTTGCACCTCAAACCTTTATTGCAGCAGATGGTGTTGTGTGCAAAGCTAAGCACGGAGCTCAAAACAACAATGGACAGTGTGATGGCTACAAGTAATTAAAGCCTCCAGCACTGCTTGTTCCACATGCTGCTCTCAGAAATGTGTGCTGAGCACCATGACCTGTTATTGCACCATGATGTCAGGGGGCTGTCCAAAGGCAGGGCACCGGAGCATTTCTGTGATCTCAAAGAGGAGATCACAACTTTCCTCTGCAACAGCAGGCAAACAAAAAGCAGAAACACATTTGAATTGCACGAGGAGAACAGCTTTATGGCCAGTGTCTGCTTTCTGAGCAACATATTCAAAACATGAATGACTTAATGTGTGACTACAAGGCAGAGGCCAAACTGACACCGAGCTCGTGGAACAGATGCGTGCACTCCAAGCCAGGCTGAACCTTTGAAAGAGAAGTTTTCTGGTCGATTGGATGGACTTTACGCACAAAGGTGATGAGTTTTGCCAGAGACCCATTTAGTGTTTTAACAGAAGGGGACTTAAGGAAGTGATCCCTTCCACTGACGAGGGGAAGAAGACGTTTGCACCAACGGATCTTTGGACCGATGTCAATACACACCAGTTCCCTAACATTAAGAAAGTATCAGTCGTAATCTTCAGTATGTTTGGGTTGATGTACACATGTGAATCAAGCTTTTCGCACATGAATGCAAGAAAAAGCAGCTCTCGTTGCTCACTGACTGACAACATGCTTCACTATTGCCTTCAAAGGTGCACTGACACTTACGAGCCAAACGTTGCAGCTCTTGTTCAGAAAAAATGTCAGGTTACTGTAGACTTGCATACTGTTGATTTAGAACAAACCTGTATTCCTTCAGTGTGCAGCAGTAAATGTTGTGTTCATATGTGTTACTGCTATGGGTTTGTGCACTGACAGCTTTGATAGGATTGATTGTTCTGTTAAATGCACTTTAAGATGTGTCTGGGTCACAAAAGTATGAACTTTATTTTGAAAGGGAATTGTCCAAATATATATATTTTTTATTTCAAATGTGAATAAAAAAAGTATTGCTACTAGCGCAGGCTCTCTTCAGCTGTAGCTCATTTATATGTTTTTTCGTGTGCGTGTGTGAAATGTCACAAGATTTAAAAGAGAAAAAAATAATAAACAACTTTTTTTCAATACATTTGTGTTGGTTTGAAACTTATGGTGATCTGCTGCTTACTGGCTGCTAAACAATATCTGGCCCAGATATATTCCTTGGTTTTAAAATCTGGCCCAACTGACTTCATAGCCGTGGTGTACACTGTTGTGCCAGGAGGATTGCCATGATTTACACACTGTGGGAAACCAAAAACATCTGGATCCATTTCAGTTCACCCGTCAAACTGCTTGACCGATAATGCAATGTGAACGGGCCTTCACTCAGCCCTCACACACCTGGACACTAGAGCCTCATGTATCAGGATGCTGTTCATAAACTTCAGTTCAACATTCAACAAGATCATTCCACAGGAGCTCAGACACAAACTGGATCAGCTGGCGATCAGCGCCTCGCTCTGTAACTGGCTGCTGGATTTCCTGACAGGGAGACAGCAGCAACACCTCCAGCATACAAACGCTGAATACGGGTACTGGAATACATCCAGG